CCCACCGGCCCCCGCCGGCGAGCTCTCCGCCTTCCTCCGCCGCTTCGAACTCACGTTTCCTGACGATGACGACGACCTCTTCGTCGTGACCCTCACCGGTTCGGGTTCCCCCGAATTCACTCTCAACGGGAAATTCAACAAAGCGCGGGAACCGCGCATCCGGAAGGCGGCGCGGTCGTAGGCCAACGCCGCGTCCTCCGCCGTCTCAAAGGTCCCTAGCCACACCCGAGCCCCGTTTTTCGCCGGATCCCTTATCTCCGCCGCGAATTTCCCCCACGGCCTTCGCCTCACCCCTCTGTAGTGCTTCCCCTTCGACGGCGCCTCCGCCGCCGGAACCGTGTTCGGCATCAACTGAACAATCTCCGGCGGCTCGATTTTGACCTCCGAAAAATCGCCGAGCAAGCTCCGAACGTCCGGAGAGGGGTCCCATCCGCCGTGGAAGGCGTCCCGGAGGATTCCGTACACTAACATGTCCTCCGAATCGTTCTCTTTCAACGGCAAATCTCCCCAGCTGTCCGTGAAACAAGGGAACAACTTGCTGAAGCTCGACGTCCGTCCGTACACCGGCCTCACGGTGTGGCCGCTTGTACCTTTCCCCGCGGAACTCGAGTCACCGAGCAAGTGTCGCCGTACTGACTGGAGCAAAGCGTAATCGGATTCCGCCGTGATCTCGCCGTCTCCACACATTTCTCTTTTATCCGTTTGCTTCTTCGTTTTTTGGCTGAAATATTACAAGTCTCTGTCGGGGTTATATAGCGAAAATTCGGGCCACGAGATTCATGAACCTGGAAAATAGAAAATAGGATATGGTGGTGGATTTCTCATTACGTTGAAGGTTCATGAATTGGGGCACGTGCGTTTATCAAAGGAAGTCGAGGGTCGAGATGACGTCACGCAACCTATGAAAGCAAGATGTTGATTGGTGTCTCTTCCTTTCCCCGTTTGGATTAATTAAGCAAATATTGACAAGGAATCGGTTCATATTTAACTATATTAGTATCGATAAAACATATTAATATCGAAAGCCCGATGATTAGATAAGCTGATGTATCTTGTCACTGATTAATCTCGACACGTCACCATCCCATTGCGCATGCATCATAGTTTGCGCATGAGAAAACATGGAAATGTTTGCACCCGGAAATGATATAATTGGATTTTTGTGAAAAAAGCTAACACTTTTAATACATACAAGTCTAAGTCATCTTAGGGAGGAGAAGGGGAAGGACCGTTTAGTTTCTCACTCGAAACTTCAAAACATAAGATGTAATTGTTTTCATACATGTTTCATTTATCTTGTAATTCCCTTTTGTTTTAATACATATATATTTCATTTTTTAGATTCCATAACGACTCACACGTGCCATGTATGTATTTATTTCTTATTATAAAAATAAATACCGCCTTACTTAAGGGGCCCCTCTAGCAAATGCGAAAGAGAGTTATGTCCACACATTTTAAAAACATTGTCTTGTTTTACATGACTCGATTTGTATGACAAAAAAAAAACAATATGTTAAAACATATAAATCATTTCGGCTCATGGTCGACATAGATATGGGCTTATATCGTTCACACTAAGTGTAGATTTGATTATCCGCGCACTAGAATTAACATATACATTTTGATTATATCAAATGGTGCATATTGATGAATGTGGATTTCTCTGTAATTGAACGAATTCCTTTTGTACTCTCTTGGTACATAAAAATACAGTAGAGAAGATGTTGAAATCTTCAAATTTTAAAATAATGGGCCATGTGTACTATATAAAGGAAAATTTGAAACCTTAAAAAACTTTTCAAACCTCAGTTATCAACAAATCTAAATAAAAAATGAAAACATCCATTTGAAATCTCAATGATTTTACAAACTTAAGTAAAATGTAAGATATTTATAAAGAGATCTAAAAAAAATATAATTTTTAATAGGTTAGATATTTTGTAAAATGTAATGATTTTGAGATTTTTTGTATATATTTTTCTGAAGATGAATATTTATTTGGATTAGTGGATAATTTTAAAATTGACGAGTTTTTTTCTTGCAATTCAATTATGCGGATGATTTGTAACAAAACTCATTTAACTGATTTCTCACAATGAATACGAGAATTAACTCGAGTAATAAAAGCAAAAAAATGGATGACGGAGGGGACACGACACGTCCAATGTAGGTAACTTGTCAAAATTAAAAAGTTGACCAACTCTCTGGTCGTGTAAGACCTTGACCGTAGACTTTTTAAATACCTACACGAACCCACCCCACGTGCGTTCCCACCTCGCCCGTTGTTTGTCATCGACCTCGTCTTCAAAATAAAACATTCTATTTCACATGCATGCTTTAATTTATTTTATATCACATACGACAGTTATGTAATATTAAATGACGCATATTATTCATTAAACCCTAACCACGCTGTGTTTGCAGCGTACGTGCTCCATCAGAATTATCTGTCATTATTATTTAAATATTTATTAATGCCGTCTTATGCATCAGAATAATATATTTATTGAGAATTGACGGCCATCTTTTATCTCCACGTGTTCCATTGTTAACCCCATGAGATTTGAAAAATGGAGGGACAATTGTTTAATACAACAAGCAACCCATCATAAACTATAAAAATGTAATTATTTTCAAAGCATATTATATTGCATTATTCATAACAAAGGAGAACATAAACATAATTGGTGTAGTAACAACATATTAGTGTAGTTGCTGAATGGAAGCACAGTGAAGGCTTATTTATTACAATCCCATCCTAATCACACGTTTTTTAAGTTACGTGAACCCTCCGAAACCCTGATATAAAATATTAAGCAGATAATTTCAGAAGTTTTGGGATGCTAAAGGGTAGTTGTGGAATGGAATTTCAACAAGAAAAATCTACACATGATGTAATATTATAATGCAATACATTTTAAAAATTGTTATAGTTATTTATTATCCATCAACTTGCTTTTTATTAAATCAATACACATTGTTATAGTCATTTATTATATATTCATCAACTTGCTTTTATTAAATTAACACACACACATGTACATACATATATATATATATATATAAGCGTTTTCACATGATAGCATACAAGTGTATTATGTACATATATAAGCCATTTTGTTACCGAACCCATATAACCAACGCTGACATTTCTTGGACTCGATCGGCATCTGATTATTTGGTGTCATTATATATAAAAATGATGATGATACCAATGTACATAATACACAAAGTAGATAGATTGAATTTAATTTCAACCCTTTTGTCGTTTGAAGTCTGGTGTAGTGGTTAAAGGGTTCAAGATTCTCTAAGAGATTATGGATTCGATTCCACTTTCCAACGAACCTGTTATCCTTAGGGTTCCACGTTGTTTGTAGGTTCGGAGGGTTGTGTTTGGATTTAGGCCGCTAAAAAAAATGAAAATAGATAGGTGGAATAATACAACAGCCAAGGGGCCCACATCCACGTCCGTCTGATTCATATCCCACTTTTACTCTGCGTGCTGTCCCCCACCTCCCTCTCGCCTTCTTCATGTTTTTTTTTAAATCATATTATTCCTTCCCATCCAATAATGTGATTGTGGTTCACTTTTTATTCAAGGATTTTATTATCATTTCGAACTAAATATAAAATAAATAAACCGTCTTTCTTTTTTTGAAAAAAGAGATCAAATGATATATATATATATATATATATATCGATACCCATAACCTGAAGGAGAATCAGAATCCTCTGCTCAGACAACTTCATTGGAACTGTGAATATTCCTTGATACCAATCCTCGAGTAAGATTCCTTTCCTTCAAAAAATTACAATCCGAATGTTTATTTACCACGCGACCGACAGATTTTCTGAGAATTTGGTATCTTGAAGGGAAAAAAATTCTAAAAATTTACAGAATTATATCGCAAATGGTTGTTTATTTACAAATCACAATAATAACCCCCTCCCTTGTTTGAGTTTAAAGTTTTCCTTTTTAAATATATTTATTCGAAATCATAGATTTTTATTGGGATGTTGTCTAAAATTTCTCCCGTTTTGGCTTAAAAAACCATTATGTAATTGAGATAATTCAGGAATTTATGCCAGAGATTCACCTTTCTTCCCAAAGTCATTGTCATATAACCACTGACTCAACTGCAGACCACACATCCCATTGTAAGTGTGCACCAAAATCTCTGTTCCTTTTCCCTTTGATAGCCCATCCGTCTTCCCTTACGAGTTAGCCTTGAATTTCGCGGAAGAAATTCGGGTTTTCCCCCGAAAATACTGAGGGTTTAACGCGAATCTCGATCTGGGTTGTGTCAATTCAAGGCTGTAGCTTCCCTTGTTCTTGCCGGCATGGAATCTGTCTCAATGTCAGAGACTGCTTTAATGCGAACCGCATATTGGAGATATGTGCCATGTTCCAGACAGTCTTCTGGGGTTAGGATCTCACCAGGAATTTGCTCTTGCAAGGGTAAAGAAACGCTCTCTCTCTCTCTCTCTCTGTTTGGTGAAATGTGTTGTAAATCTAATCGAGAGGGGTGTTTTGGGGGAGAAGTCGAGGGAGGGAGGGCCTTATCTTCGAAGAGCGTTCATTTCTGGAAGAGCCCGTCTGCTTCAACTGCAGATTCCGGGTTAATGCGCGATGGCAACAGCACAAGACATGAACGATTGCTTCACGCCTATGACGATGAGTACGGCGGAGTGGTCGTTGATCCGGAAAGATTACCATCTGATCCCTCCACTTTTGTCTCTGTGCTCCGTTCCTCTCTCTCTCATTGGAGAAGAAAGGTAATCCAATCAACCCTATTCCATTCATCATAAAACTCATCATCCTTATTGAAATGGGAGGAAACTTGGCAGGAGAGGAAGGGAGTGTGGCTCAAGTTACCAGTGGAACGCTCAGAGCTTGTTCCGGTGGCTATAAAGGTAGAATGAAGAGAGTTTTCGAACAACACAGGAAGACCCTCTTTCTGATTGATTTTTATGTTTTATCAGGAAGGGTTCGAGTATCATCATGCAGAGAAAGGATATGTGATGTTAACTCATTGGATTCCGGAAGGGCCTTCTATGCTTCCTGCTAATGCCTCACACCAAGTCGGCGTCGGAGGCTTTGTCGTCAATGACCATAAAGAGGTCCCCTTTCTTTTCTTTTTTTTAATCTAATCATCTTAAGATCTCAACGGTTGGAAACAATTACAAAGGGGATATGAACAGAGGTATGGCTGGTGGTAGGTTCTGGTGGTACAAGAGAAGTACTGCGCTCCAGCACTCTCCGGTCTATGGAAACTACCAACTGGATTCATCCACGAGGTTGTTGATTTTTAACTTTGTGTTCCAGATTCTGTAACACGTCTGACAGGTCTGGGTTTTTTGGAACTGACAGTCGGAGGAGATATTCTCGGGGGCCATGAGAGAAGTCAAGGAAGAAACAGGGGTATGGAGTCTTGTGAAATTTCTCTCCATTGTAAAAGGGGATGTTCTTATTGTTCTTGTTCTTGTTCATGTTCAGATAGACACGGAGTTTGTAGAGGTTATAGCCTTCAGGTATACGTAATCCATTAGTTCCCTCTGCGTATAGAAATGTATAGAAGCATCTGACTGGATTGAACTGGTGGGGGGGTTCACGTGCAGGCACGCTCACAACGTTGCATTCCAGAAATCTGATCTCTTCTTCATCTGTATGTTGAGGCCTCTATCCACCAAAATCATTGTGGATCATCTTGAAATCCACGATGCCAAGGTATGAGGAGGACAATCTATGGCTGGGGTGGCCATATCATCATAATGATAATGATAATGATAGTAAAAATACCATTGATTAACAAACAAACAGTGGATGGCGTTGGAGGAGTTTGTGGAGCAACCGGTGACAAGAGGAGACAAGATGTTGAAGAGGGTGAACGAGATCTGCATGGCCAGATTGGGTCGCCGTTACTGCGGGCTGTCTGCTCATCGCCTCGTCTCCGCCTTGGAGGGCAAACCTGCCTCCCTCTATTACAACGTTGTCGACCACAACGACAGCTGTCTTGGCAATTGACCCTGTCTATCTATGTATATATTGATATGGATCAAATGTAAATCTATCAAACTTAAACTAATGCATCGATGAACACACGTACTGTCGGTGAGAATATCATAAAGAAGGTGGGGATGCGTCATTTATCAAGATTTGGCTTTCTGACTGTAAAAGTTTCCATTTCCCTAATCTTATTCCAATAATAAATCAGAGATTCATGTGAATTATCATTTGGTCGTAGCAGGAGAGTAAAATATAACAATTCCTTGCGGTCATAATAGACAGCAGCACCCCGTCTAAACGCCAAAAAAATCCCGAAAGACTCCGACTCCCTTTCCCTTTGGCCAGGCAGATCAAGGATCACTCAATTCTCCGTTTCTCATGTAAGCTCCTCTCATCTCCTTCCCCTTCTCTGCCTCTTTTCTCCGGATTCCTGATTTTGTCGATTCAAAGTCGGTGCGCTTTTGTTAGGGTTTTCGGGAAATCCTCGTCTGATCGGACTTCAGCTTCTCTCTTTTCCCGTTTCTCTACCCCATGAAGTTCGTTTCCCGCTTCTGATGACGGGTTGCTTCCCGAGGAAAATTGAGTGGGAGTCCCGATTTGCTTAGTCTGTCGGTTTATTTCACTTGAAAAGGCCTACTTCTGTCTAATTTGGCCCCCTTTTGTTTATTTTCAGCACCTTGCAAACAGGATCCCTGTGGACTGTAGAATTTTGTTAGATCTCCAACACTTTTGTGGACAATCGGATCTCTCTGACCGTGTGTGCCATCGTTGTCAGAGTGAGTTTTGCAGGGATCTAAGAGTAGGGAGGAGAGGATGAAGGAAACGAGTTTGAAGTGAGAGAGACGGAGGAGGTATACAAAAATGCGGATGCTTACTTTCACGTCAAGCTCAAGCTCGAGCGAGGAGAGGGAAGACAGCGGTGGTATTACGCCAGTCTACCTCAATGTGTATGATCTTACGCCTGTGAACAATTATCTCTATTGGTTTGGGCTCGGGATATTCCACTCAGGAATCGAGGGTACACTCTCGTTTGAATTGCTTTATGTATCCTGCAAACTTGCTCCTTGGCCGTTGCCAATTATGATATCCAAGTTGTTCCTCATGGCCATTGTTGTATTCAGCACACGGTTTGGAGTATGGGTTTGGAGCGCATGAGTATGCTAGCAGCGGCGTGTTCGAGGTGGAGCCTAGGAGCTGCCCTGGCTTCATTTTTAGGCGCTCTGTTTTGTTGGGGACGACTAGCATGTCTCGCTCAGAGCTCCGATCATTCATGGAGATATTTTCCAGAAAATATCATGGTGACACGTACCATTTGATTGCCAAGAACTGTAACCATTTCACCGAAGAAGTATGCTTGCAGTTGACAGGCAAGCCTATTCCCGGATGGATTAATCGGATGGCTCGAGTAGGTAAGAAGTTAAATTTTTCACTCGACACACCACTTTTTAGGGCCCTCATTGTTGAAAATGGCTATCGCTCTGCTTGGAACATATTGTCAAGAGCTCATCATGATCATAACTAGCTTCCCTTTCGAGTTTCAGGTTCATTCTGTAATTGTCTTCTGCCAGAAAGCATTCAGATCACTGCAGTTAGACATCTTCCTGAACGCCTCGAATTCTCTGGTAAACTCTTAATAATTTGCTTTTTGGATTTATTCTCGATAAGAGAGAGATGTCGTTTCTGATACATTACAAAGAAGCAGAGATACAATGAGCCTTGTGTGCTTCCTGTTTCTAATGTAGACGAGGAAGATGGATCGGAATCGGTGGGATCATCTGTGACGGACGAGACGGAAGGAGAGGGCTCAGACCACCATCTGATATCCGCACCAGACAGTGATATAGCCTTTCTGCAAGAGAAAGCTGTGCGGTTAGCCCGGGAACTCGTCTGAGAATCATTGCCTTGGGTATTCCGTTGGGGAATGGGTTAGTATTCTTTCGCCTAGGAATGTAAAGATGGGATCTTGTTTGGCGGTGAGATTCAAAGACCAATATATTGGAGATTTGAAGGCGTGTTCTCTAAGACGCATTATGATCCCCACCTTATCATGCAGGCTGTAGACGTTGAAATCATCTGCCGTTGTAGTGTAGTGTGTAGGGGCCAAGAAACCTGTTGTGTTTTCATTTCAGGGAAAAAGAAAGAAGAAGAACTTCTTTCACAGAAATTACGGAATATAGCAAAATGGCAGAGTTTCTATCAATCGTGGGATGGATACTTGTAGGTTTAGTACCCTATACAAAATTACTGCATATATATGTATGTATGCATATTAATATAGTTATTAGAAAGAAGCGTCAGAAAGGGACTGGATTTTATAAATATGAAATCATGATCTTCGAATTTAAGCGAAAAAGGGCAAATGGACAGTAACGCTCCGTTCGTTTTTCCCTAAACAACATATTTTGCGTATTTTGATTGCTTAGAGTCTCCAAGGAAGGAGAATCTTCCGGCTGATTTGCTTCCGAATAAGCAAAGATATGCATGCACTCTCTCTCTCAAATTTTAGCACATATATGAACCGTTCAGAAAGTATAGGAGGGAGGGGTTTAGATACATAGATATAGATACATGGCGTCTGTTCTGATATCTGCTGCGGCGGCGGTGCTCTTCCTCACCATCCCAGTTTCCCTCTCCATTCCTTTCTTACTCTTTCACGGTGAATTCTTATTTACGTTTACGAGGATCCTAATTTTGCTTTTTCATTTCACAAATGTAATAATTAATGATATATATATCTATGAAGGTGTGAACGATGAATGCCCCGATGACAAGGGGAGCTTCACAGAGCTCCTGAGGAATCTCTCGGGCTCTCCTGGATATTGCGTGTAACATATAGTCCTCATCTAAAGTTTGAGCTGCTTTCCCTCCATCCTATATCTTACGGGAGTTTTGATTCAGGGAAATCGGGAACGGGAAAGACGATTCGTGGTCGATGCCGCTGACTGAACAGGTAATCATCAACATCATATACATATTTGGACGTATCATATTATGAATGCGTGTTTTGTGTTGGGCAGGCAACCCTCGCCTGCCAAACCGTGAAGCAGATGAAAGAACTGAGTCAGGGTTACAACATTGTCGCCCAGTCGCAGGTACATCCATCCATATCACATATAACTCTTTTGTATATATATATATATATATATTAATATTGGTAACGCGGGTGGGGTTTGGCAGGGAAACATGGTAGCTCGAGGCCTTATAGAGTTTTGTGAGGGTGGTCCACCGGTAATTCATTGATATACCATCTGAAACTATGATTTTTATATTATATGATTAACGTGATGGATCTTGTTATGACAAAATTCCCACAGGTTAGGAACTACGTGTCGCTTGGAGGGCCTCATGCTGGTGTCTCATCCATCCCTAACTGTCCCGTAATTCACTTACTAACTTCCGAAACCGCTGCGGCTTCTTTTTTATTTTATTTTATAATTCAGACAAAGTGACTGATACACTTTTTTTTTTCTTTCATTTTTTGAGCAGTCCGCTTTAATCTGCAAACTTGCAGAAAAATCGGTCTACGCCGACAATGTTCAAGTAGGTGTCATTCCATTACATAATAGCATCTCCTCTCATATATATATATATAAAATCCCCGTGTGAAATGCATGCATGCAGAATACGTTAGCTCCCAGCAATTACGTCAAAATACCAACTGTAAGTAAGCAAGTCATTCAGACTTTCCTTGAGTCCCATTCGCATCTGACTGGATAAGATGTTGTGTATATATAAAGGATATAGCCAACTACTTGGAGCACTCCCGCTATCTGCCTCTTCTTAACAACGAGAAGCCCGATGAGAAGAACCCCTCCTTTAAAGACCGTTTCAGCAGCCTCCAGAACCTGGCCCTCCTCATGGTCCCCTTTCTCAACCCTCTCTCTCTTTTTTATTACAACGTGATATGCATCAGAGATCAAACTTGGCTGACACTGTAACAGTTTGAGGAAGATACGGTGTTGATCCCCAAAGAAACCGCATGGTTTGGATATTACCCAGATGGTGACTCCCAGACTCTTCAGTCTCCTCAACAGGTAATCGAGTCCCTCTCCATATATTACTATCATCTTGACATTTCTTTTTCACTCTACATATATGTGTGTGTGCGTATTCAGACAAAGCTGTACACAGAAGACTGGATCGGCCTGAAAACACTGGACACTGCCGGAAAAGTGAAGTTCATAAGCGTAGCTGGAAAGCATCTCCAACTGTCTCATGACGACGTTGTCAAATATGTGGTGCCTTACCTTCAAGGCTCATGATGTTTTTTTAATCAACTTATTCTAGATATTTATCTTTGGACTGTAACCTCAAGGACCTAACAAAAAGCCTTTCTCTAAGGGTCCCGTTTACAAAACGCACACAGTCGATCACAATTTCTTGTAGCTCAAGTAACCGAAATAAAAAAAAAGGAAAAGAAACAGCGGGCACGTTACATCCACCAGGGCTTCTCCATTAAGTCCTCCGAGAAAACATAACGGAATCTTGAAGAGTAAGGCAACCACTCAATGACCTTCTTGTAGTTGGGTTTACCCTCTATGCATTTCTGTATGGATTCCTGAAGCTTCTTGTCAACGTTTTCCATCACCCATCTCATCACCTCCTCTGAACTCAGACCACTCTCCTTCCCAAACCTCTCTATAACCTTCGGTAAGTATACTTTCTTCAACTTCTTCACCACCACGTTCGACTGCATAAACTCCCTTTTTGCAGCCTCTATCTCCTCTTTAACGTTTGATGCCGTGTACACCTTTAACTGCATTTCATTTCATCATATCATCAAGAGCATCTAATCTGTTTCTGAATTCGTTTTATATGTAGCGAATAATGATACTACTACAGAGTACAGGGTGAGTTTGTTTTTCCAGTTTCTGGAGCAGAGTCAGAGAACTTACCACGGGATCAGACAGAGAACCTGTGCAAAGAGCAAAGCAGAGAAGGGGTTCAGATTTGGAAAGCTTGAACCTTGAACTTGTAATGTTTTGTCTATCCTCTGCTGATTTTTTCCTCAAGGCCGTCGAAATAATGGTCTCGAGCCACTGCAAAAATACAATGACAATCATAAAAATATTTAGAGAAATTTGAGCCAACAAAAACAAGCAAAGTTGCACTTCCCATAACTGTGATTACTCAAGGGGCACAACATGTTAAAAAGACAGAATCTCTCTGTTTTTTTTGGTTTAAGAATATGGAAAGAGGGCTTACACGTCCACTCCGTGGTGTCTGGAAACAGAATATTGAGTGTTCAATGGTATTTGCGCTTATGATGTGACCACCGATGTTATATGCAGACTGCACTATACAATGAAGGCCATTAGTCTTGCTCGGATGCAAAAGTTTGGTTTCAGAGACTCTTTACGGTGGAAGGAATTCTAGCCACTGTTTATGTCACCTCAAGATGCACTGTTTATTCATCTTGCGTTAGGAGAATATGTGAGCCTAATTCACATTTTACTACATAAGTACATAGCCACAAAAACAGGCACTTTCTATTGAGAAAGTGGACGGAACAGCAAAATCAGGCAACAAGTCATGTAACACAGGGAAAACATGACAAGATCTACATAAACAAAGAATCTTGGCAGTGTCCACCAGGGTCATATAGTATATAACACAGCCATCATTCTAGAAATTCCTAATGGAGGATATCAGAATGTCATAACATTCACCCAGTTTGATAAACCCAAAACCCTTTTATAAACTGATGAGGGAAAATAAAATTAGAATACCTTGTGGAACAAAGCTAACCTTCTGAGAGAATTGGCAGGTACCCCATATGCCAAGTATGCCTGGAGAAGTTAAACAAAGGGAAAGCAGAACCTCATTGGATCATAAATTAGCTTAGCATAGAGTATCATTAGAATGATATGTCCTTACGTGCATGACGAGAGAATTGTAAACGTTGACCCAAAATGCAAGTTTTGCATTGTCCTCCATCTGACTCAACGTAACCCTCTCCAATTGTTCCACAAGGAGCCTGAAATTCAAATGGATCACAGCACAAGGGGTAGCATTGATGTGATTAACATTGTTTTATCCAAAGGTCTTTGTGCAAGTGCTAATCAAAATGTTTTCAGTTAACAGACTTTTACTACCATAAAGCATGACGAGTAATATGAACAGAAACTGCTTAGCTCGGAGTTCCAGAATATATATATATATATATATATATATATAAACATTAACGGTAACAATTACGACCTCCATTTCACAAGTATAGTCAAACCAAGGCCATGTTTGTGTAAGTTTGAGAGTTCAAAGTAACAGAGAACATCATTTGCATTATCTCTCCTGATTCATAGACATCTCTTCATCTCTGAATCATTTTAATGTACGAAGAATTTGAAGAACTGTAACCCTGAGTTTTCACCAGAATTAAAATGAAGTCTAGTATTCTGTCCCATCTTAATTTCACATTTTTCAACGATTTAACATAGTGATATTGAATAGAAAGTTTATGGTAATCGAAATCAATAGATGGCGTTCATACATCAATTGGGACTGACCTGTAGTTGTTAATAGCATATGATGCTTGAGAAAACCGTCTCTTGTCTGTTGAAATCCAAGATATCTCCACCATGGATTTGCAAGACCAAGCTCGGTCTTCACTCATAATGTTCCGAGGGATTATCACTTTGGTTGACGACGACCTTGACGGGATGGGTGATCTTCTCTTGTCCGGATTTGTTGATGTCACACTACTGCAAAGCCAAAAGTATACAGAGGCCATGCACTTAACCATTTCCTCAGATAACTTGCTTGGGCACTGGTATAGATGATCCTTCAGAGTTCTCTGTGTTGGAGATTTGTCTGTTGTTGAATCCTTTGCATGGGTCTGAATAGCGGAACAGAGATTACAAACTCAGAAAACAAACAGAAGAATGCTTACTTTTATACGGAATGAGTTCAAGAAAGCACATGAGACACAGAAAATTATAAGACAAGAGACAAGAAGAATGCTGAAAAATAGGGATGCCCTCAAGATTTTAAGAATGGACACGAAAACATGTCAGTTCTAGATCAATCGTTGTTCTGTTTTTTGAGAAAACCTTTTCTTGAATACAAAGTTGAACAGACAGCAGCTCTCAACTAGTTCTCTGTATCATCTGCTATAGTAAAAAAACAATCAGAGTTACAGGACATGTGTGTAGTTGTGATCTAAGGAATGGAGAAATGGAAATAAGTTCCAGGAAAATGCAGGTTGCATACAGTAAAGAGTCTTTGAAACAGGACAAGTACAGAGAAGAAATAACCTTATTCTATAAACTACCTTTGACTGGCTTGAGCAATTTGTTGCAGAAGGAAAAGAGTCGCTCTCCGCAAACTGAGATGCTTGATCCTTTTTGGAAGTTTTTCTGCTCAAATCATTTATGGTAACGAGAGCATGCCAAGGTCTCAGAGCAATATTCTTGGAGGAACAGAATGCATTTGAAATGACACTTGGGTGCTTCCTCGGAGGCTGCTTTATATGAGCTGGAGAAGAAACACCTGAATTTTGCTCGGAAGATGCCCTGCTGAGAGAATGTTCAAAAATACTCCGGTACAGAGAGAGAACATGCTGCTCACGGTTCGCAACCTCTTCTTCCAGCAATTCAATCTCCGCTATAAGTTCCTTGGTCTGAAACACCCAAATCACATACCTAACTAAATCTGAAAATTTTCTCCCCGGATAAAAGTCTAAAGTGACATAAAAGGTTACCTGAGCAGCAAAATGCCTGTGCCCTGGTGATAAGGTGCTTGAAGCACGGCCCATAGCCCTCTCTAGCACCATTCTCATAGATTTCTCCTGTTGCAGACGAGACTGAAGCTGCTCAATCTGTGATTACAAATCACAATCTTTAACACAATAATCATATAAAACCCAATGTAATACATAGAATGAAAATTAATTTTAAGAAGCCAGTATGTAAGTGTGAGAAAGGGCGGCTTGTTTCTAATGTCATGTAGAAATGAAACTGCAATTCTTACATCTCGTTCCAGTGAGGTTCTCTGATTCGAGGAAGCATTCTTTTTAATATAAGCCGGCGGTTCATGTAGAGGATTAGATCCGGTGTTTGCCATAGTTGAAACTGATGGTGCCTATGAAATGGAGAAACCAGCATGGAAGAAATCAAATCAACTTCAAAGCGCGTCTGCAAGTACAGAAGACAGAATGATGATACACAAAACAATTAACGGCCTTACGTATACTCCATTGGCACCACTTGAGGCATACATATCACGCTCCGAAGCACTGCAAAATTATAGCACCAGGGTACGGTGACATCATTCAGAAATGCCAAATAGCTTCAGGAAGAACATTTGAGATGCTGAAGACATTTTCTAAATGCCGTTTGATGGAAGAGATGTATTCGCAAACACTTGGCGTGCAAGTGTATGCGGTAATAAAAAAAAAACTAACATTTCCTGATTCATGAGCTCTCGAGGTGGTTAGACAACGAAGGGTACCTTTTGGATCGTCCATGCTTGCGGGAATCTGAGCATGGCCGAGAATCTTCACTCTCTCTGTTTCTTGTACTACCTTCATCACCCATTTCATAATCTCGGTGAAGAAACTAAGAAAATACTTCCAGAAACAACTCAAATGTACACCCAGAAAAGGAAATTTTATCAATTGATCGCGAGACGAACAACACCCCCCAGAGATCAAAGGACTGTGAGGAACGGGTAGGAAGAAATAGAATTAGGAGTGAAGTGGAATGCGGAGAAGGAAGAATGAGAAGTAAATGCGAGGGCTTTAGCTTACCTTCAAGAAAGGGACCGGGTTTGCTGAGATTGCTGCTGGGAAAATTCAATTCGATCACTTTATGGTTGTTGGATTGCATTCAAATCCTTCCCTACATTTATGAGTTTACACTATTCACTCTTTCTCCCTTTTGGTCACAAATTTTGAACTTTAATATAATAAAAAAATTAACCACTCTTTTTCAATATGATCCAATATTATCACAATATTGTTTTTTGTCGTGTAAGTTATTCCAAATTTAACTCTTTCCTCTCTCTTTGTCTTTCTACCGTCTACCTCTTTTCTGATTAATTGACCGTTTCTTCAAATTTTTGTTGGAATAAAAGAAAGTCTGTAATTCTCTGTTTCTCGGTAAAAGAATGGAACCGTTGGCGCCAAAATGCACACGGACAGGACACTCATTAATGCATGCTTGTCTCATGAAGATGTGAAAGGCGAATAATGTCTTTTCCTTCCATCTTTTAATTTATATAGCTGATTTTCGCATACACTAATCATTCAGCTCTTGAATCCGATTGAATTACACGTTTCGGTTATTAAATGTACAAACAAATTATTAAAAAAATAAAACATTTGAAAGGGCAAAAGTGGGGCCATAACATGGAAATATTGTTTTTTAATTTGATGATTATTGGGCTGGGCCGCGACGGTCTAGTATAATATTGTTATTGATCCATCTAAATTTGAAAAGTTATTTTTAGTGTTGTTACTCATTAATGCACTATACTTTAGGACAAAGGAATTATCTACCTGGCAAAGCAATTGCGTACTAATACTTGAATTGAGTATAAATATCACATCGGTGTCATATAAATAAATAATTTTTAATAGCTAAATTGGACCGGATTCCCCAAAACAGAGATGCTGAGGTGCTTTAGAATATGCCATGTGGACCACCGACATCGCAAAGCCACGTGTACGGTCCATAGATCTTCACACGATCTGACCAAAATTGCATCCTGATTTCTCGATAAGACTCTCCCCTGGTTGCCACGTGTCGGAATAAGATGGGCCCCGCTTATCCTCTCCCCTTTTAATTAACTATACTCTTGTCTAAACAAAATATTAAGGTCCGCCCTCGTCCGAGTTCGAACTGTAATGACATTTGGACTCACCAAAACTGTGAGCATTCTCTCACCAAATAATATACATATATATACATATATATATATATATATAATTGGATTAAAACAACCATTTGATTCGATCTATGCTCATTGTAAATCCATGCAAGCGAGATCGGAAATGGAAACAAGAGAGGTTGATGGAATACTCTTTCTGTTGTGGATAAATTAGCCTGAGAACTCTTTTTAAAGGCTAATGCAATCCAACTAACTGCACATTGCGAAATGCAATCCAAACATTTCGAAATCAACATTAATCTCAAAACCGTACGATGTTCATAATTCAATAAATCTAACTTTTTCTATAACATAATTATTTTGATCAGAAATAACAACTGTTACTGTTAGATAACAATAAGAAGGCGGTAAAAAACAAACAGAAAAAAGGAAGAAAAACATTCCTAATGATATTTACGTACGCGTATATATATAATGAACTGCTCAATTATCAATTGTTGATAGATTAATTAATATACAATTAAGGCTTCCAAAGGCAGGAATTTAAAGGATTTTTTTTTCTTTGGAGTAATTTATATATAATTGGGAAATCGATTAAAGTGTCATCATAAAATAAAGATTATATTACATAAATCCTCGTAAATTAGTCATTAAAACAAAATGGGGTAAATAAACATATAATTTCGAATATAGTCCAAAAGAAATTTATCTTTGGACACGTCGGTTTGACCGCAAGTCAATGGGACACAGAAAGGAAAATCCATCAACGACGCACCAAATCTCTCCATCTGTAACAACAACAAAAAAAAAAAAAAAATCGTGCAATAAATCCGACCAGATAAATCGAATTCCTTTTTTTTTTTGTTTCTGTAATAAATTGGACCAGATAAACCGATATTATTGTCTTTCTCCCTCTCTCCGCCTCCCCCCTCTCTATCGACACCAGATTCCCTGTTTGTGAGATTAACTCCGATTCGATCGGCGACGGAGGATCCGATCCGATTCCGATCAGATCCATCTGGTACGAGGAAAATCGTCCGGAGATGACTCGCCGGTGTTCTCACTGCAATCACAATGGGCACAACTCTCGGACATGTCCGAACCGAGGGGTCAAGCTCTTCGGTGTTCGTCTCACCGAGGGCTCGATCCGGAAGAGTGCAAGCATGGGAAATCTCAGCCACTACACGGGCTCGAGACCGGGTGGGCATAGCGGAACGGGGTCTAACAATCCTGGTTCTCCAGGAGATACCCCTGACCACGCCGCCGCCGACGGTTACGCTTCCGAGGATTTCGTCGCCGGTTCATCTTCCAGCCGCGAGAGGAAGAAAGGTATCTCCACTTCCTATTTCATCTCCGATCCCCGATTTCTTTGAATTTTCTTTTTTCTTTTTTGGTTCGTGGGATTTCGTTGCTATCAACCTGCCGAAGAGTTCAAATATGGGCAGAAAATCTGGAATTAGACCTCGACCTAAAGGCAAACTATGAAGTGTGCAGATGTCCTTCACACACGCATGTTTGAGAATACGAGGAGTTGATTCAATGGAACATGATAAACCTTGTGATGAAAGATAGGAGTTGTGTGGTTGTACTTTTAAGTCTGGATCTTGGTTCTTAACTCGATTGATTCCAGTTACACGAGTTTCTTGTCCTTGTGGTGGGAAGTCTCTCTCCGATCAAATTGACCATTTCCTGCTGGTTATTATGATGAGGTGTTGCTGACGTCGTTTCTTCTTCCGTGTGTTTTACTGTTTTCGGTTTGGCCTGTTATCATGGTGCTCTCTGTTGAACTCGAAAGCTTTTATTGTTGAGGGACTGGTTTCTTGAAATATGCCTTTTTGCAAGACTTTTGATTTAGTGTAAAAGCTGCATTCAAACAGATCATAGCATCCTTCTGGTTCATCTCTGTGCATTCTTCTTTATAAGGGGTTTGGTTTCTTATATAATATACCCTGGTTTTTGTTCGTTCAATCACAGCTACGAGTGGTTGATGTTGGTATTCGAGGAATTCAGCTTTCCAATCAAATCATATGGCAAAGTAGATATGCTTTTTTTCCATCATGTTAACGCCAAGACTGAATTGGGTTCCTCCTAACGGTGGAGTATATATACGTTTGGTATGTAGGAACGCCATGGACAGAGGAGGAGCATAGGATGTTCTTATTGGGATTACAGAAGCTGGGAAAAGGAGATTGGCGTGGTATCTCCAGGAACTACGTGACTACAAGGACACCGACGCAGGTTGCAAGCCATGCTCAGAAGTACTTCATCAGACAGTCCAATGTATCTCGCCGTAAAAGACGTTCTAGTCTTTTTGATATGGTTCCTGACGAGGTTAGTTCCCTCTCCCTCTTACATTTTTTTAATCAAATTCTATTCAACATATTTAGAAGGTGGGTGCATCTGGAATTTTCTTATTGAATTCCTTTGCAGGTATCAGATGTTGCAATGGAGCCACAAGAGGCGCAACCCGAGGACAGTCATGCAGAAACTCAAATGCAAGGCAGCGATAAGCTTCCAGCTCCTGCTCCGTCGTCGATTCTGGAAATTGAAGAATGTGAATCGATGGACTCCACCAACTCTAGCACTGGGGAGCCACCCGTCACAGCAGAGGACAATACCCAGCTGCAACTGCCTGCTTCATTCCCTGTATTGTATCCAACCTACTTCTCGCCTTTCTACTCTTTCACATTCCCGGTATGGCCAGCTGGGTATGTTCCCGAGCCTACCAAGAAGGAGGAGAGTCACGAGATACTTAGACCCACAGCCGTGCATTCGAAAGCCCCCATAAACGTGGATGAGCTTCTGGGCATGTCTAAGCTAAGTCTGGGAGAATCAGAGCAGCAGCCACTGCCGTTGAACCTGGTGGGAGGGTCGTCCACAAGACAATCAGCTTTTCATCCGAGTCCGGCATCAGGTGGCGGTTCGGACATGAAGAGTGCGATTCACGCCGTCTGAGGGCGGATGGTTCTGTCTTTTGTGGGGATTAGCGTAGCCAGAGTGACTTACCTTGGATCGCATATGATGATGACTCCATGGGGATTTAGCCAGGTATTTGTGATATCATTTAACTTAATAAATATTGTATGTGGTTGTTTTAACTTTGTAGTTGTTCAGCTTTGAACATTAGGAGTAAAACCCAAAGAAGGAAGGAAGAAAAAAAGATTACGATTTTTGTGGGAATGCCTCTGTTTTGCTTTTGCATGACGAAGATGTATTGAAACAGTTGGACTGTCACTGTAATGGTTCCCAAATATATTATTAATTTGGAATTGTTACATTACAAAAGAGAATGAAACGGGTGGTCGGGACAAATGGGAAACAATCTCAAAGCTCATTGCTTTTTTATGGCTTCTCAGATTTGTGTCCTATCTGAACTGTGTCTCATATTAGGTCACGGTAACTAAAGTAACCGTCCGGCGTGCCACGTGTCTCTCTCCAACTGACCCAAAGCCCCATACTGGCCAGAAACCCTGGGTTGAGCTCCTCTGCCTCATCATTCGCATGGCCTATACTTTATTGGTCTGTCCACGTCCTGAATCACGCACACATCATTGTGGCAGAAGGATGTGGTATTTGTACTGCATCTCTCTGGTACACCTGAAACAATAACCCAGATGGTACAATGAATGCTATTCTCTTGTTTAGTCGTACATTGGTGTTTGCCACCAGCAGATTTAGATCTGTACAGACAGTGCAGAATTGATCAAACCTTACATCAACTGACCCATTTCCACATTGAAGCACTGCTTCAGTTCCAATTTCACTCTAAACAAACCTCAGCGTGTGGAAGATGGTGCAGAGACATGGGGTTCGGGTTATTGCATCAAAGAAGCTCGAGTTAATCTTCTGCTCAAGAAGAAGAGCCCGGTTTCTTCGAGACCCAGCTGATATCGAAGATGCCTTTTAAAAAAACACAGATTTTCACACCGATCCGATGTCAAAATTAGACAGATACTCTGACTGATTCAGAGGTTTCACGGGATATATCTGACGTGGATTTTGGTCTGACGGACCAATGATACATCTCCACATAAGCACATCGACGTCGTAGCTCCCACATCAAAAGGCTCGCCCCGTCGCCGGGTAAGGAGTTTCAACCCTTAGAGTCGGAAATTGCTGGATTCTCTTCGCCAAGGACGTCTTTGCGCGCTGTTCTGCTGGAGATTTCTTCGATCTGCACTTTCGGTGGGTCTCCTTTGAAGATCTGTAGCGGATTTCGCCGCCATGGCTGCGCCGTTTTTCTCGACTCCTTTTCAGCCTTACGTCTACCAGGTTTCCCCTCACCTCTTCTTGGATTTGTTTCAATCGTTCCAGAAACTTGAACTCATGTGTTCTATTTCATTTTTTTTTCAAAGTATTGCGTGCCTGTTCTTGCTGAAGATGCAGCGATTTTGTACACTTGGTGATGTTCTGATTACCATTTGATAATGAAACAAGTACATGATAGTGATGTTGTTGAAGAAGACATTGATGTTTCTGCATATGATGCTTTGTTCACGTAGCAGTAGAATGACACATGGACGAACCGATCCTATCGCACTAATGTAAGGTTATTCTGGTTCAAGTTTCAAAATGGCTTATAACCTTCAAAAGAATCTGGTTATGGTTCCTTGGAAAAATCCATGTTATTATTAATTCTATACATTTTTTAAATAGCTCTTGGTGCGTGACAAGTCGCAAATTTTAGGGTTCTATAAGAAGTTCCTTCTTATGAAGATCAGGTAGTATTAATGTGAATTTAGATTCAGTTTTTCCCGGGCATCCCACGTTTCCTTCAACTCACATCTCATTTACTTGTTCCATCATCATTATGTTGCAAAGTATCCAGACGGCAGATGATCTGATCATCTGTGCCCCATCTTTGGTTGATACTGTCTGATTGTGTGGTGTAGTGTCTGGATGATGTAATCATCGTATTAGACCAGCACTCAACTGGTCCTTTGGTTATTAGTTTTTTCCAGTTATTTCTCTTGCATTTAAAAAAAGTTTATTAGGTTTGAATACCTGATGCATGCCGTGAAAGGCCAAAAAGTGCTTGATTTGTGAAATTCTCTGCGATAATGTGGTTATCATACAAGTTTCTTGATTCTGTCCCCGAGGACATGGTTTCATGAGTTATCTTGTTATGCAGAGTCAGCAAGATACTATTACACCTTTCCAAATTCTGGGCGGAGAAGCTCAAGTTGTTCAGGTAGGGTTAAGTCTACTGATCAGCCATTGCATTTGAGGTTGTGCCGCTGCGATCCCATTACTTAGTTTTTTCAATTTGTACTTCTGTTGGCAGATAATGTTGAAGCCTCAGGAGAAGGTTATTGCGAGGCCTGGTACTTTCCTGATCTTTATTTTTTTAATTTTGAGCTCTTTAAAATTATCTTTCCTTTATCAATTTAACTCTTCAGTTATAATAGCTGGTGGCTTGCTTTATTAAATTTTGCGTAGCTAATCCACTAAGGTACTGTAGGCTCCATGTGCTACATGTCTGGGTCTGTTGAGATGGAAAATACCTATACGCCTGAGAATGAAGTTGGGGTTTTGCAATGGCTTTTAGGCAAGAGTGTCAGCAGCATAGTTCTCCGTAATACTGGTCAAAACGATGGGTTTGTTGGTATCGCTGCGCCTTCTTTGGCAAGGATTCTTCCGGTAGCTTACCAAAATTTCTTACACTTTCTTAGATGTCCTACCATTTACCTGTTATCTCATTCTTTTGTTGGTATATTGCCGTTATTTATTGGTCATCTAGATTGATTTGGCAATGTTTGGAGGGGAGATCTTATGCCAGGTAGAGCAGTTATTCAATATATTTTTTTATCTTTGTCCCAAAATATTTTCTTTGCAATTCAAGTCAACCTCCTATATTCATGTATGACCACGCCCTCTTGTTTTTTGTAGCCAGATGCATTCCTCTGCTCTGTTAACGACGTGAGGGTCATTAACACTGTTGACCAACGAGCAAGGAATGCTGTTGCCGTTGGTGCAGAGGTAATTTGACCAGCTCTGCTTTGGCTTTTTGTGAATACACTCAGGTGATGCTGTAGTGAATAGTACACATATATTTCTTTTAATCCTGTCTGATATGCTGTTTACCATATTATTCTATCAAACACATTTATTTGAAATAAGAAATTGTAATTCCAAAATGTGGTTTCTGTTTATCATTCACACAATTGATCTTGCAGGGGTTTTTGAGACAAAGGCTAACTGGCCAGGGCCTGGCCTTCATTCTTGCTGGCGGCTCAGGTATGCTGCTGCTCATTTTTCTTTTCTATTTTTCAGCATGCCTGGTTCTTTGAAGAGTACTTACCTCGTCTATTCATATATGTTGTGTATTTCCAAGTTGTACAGAAAAATCTCGAGGTGGGTGAGGTTCTTACAATTGACGTGTGGTGCATTGCTGCTCTCACTCCCTCCATCAATGTCCAAATCAAATACAATGCTCCTGTGAGAAGGGCGGTGTTCGGGGTAAGACACAGTCTTGTAAAGAATCCAAGAGTACAGTTTGTCTTGTTTTGTTGTCATGTGATGAAACACATAGCAACTAACGTGGTCCGGTAAACATGAAAAGGGTGAAAACGGAGTTACTGCGACGCTAACGGGACCAGGCATTGTCTTCATTCAAAGTTTGCCGTTTCATCGGCTTTCTCAGGGGATCGCAAGGTATGCCTCCTTATAGTAATGCCTCCTCTCGTCATGATGAAAATTCCTTTGGTTTTTACTTTGTGAATTGGGTTGCAGGTCGGTCGCGTCACCAAACATGAGGGAAAACCCAAAGTTATTGGTTCAGATAGCGATATTCGTATTCCTTGCTTATGTTGTGATTGTATCTTCTTTGATCTTAACCGAAGTATGAAAAAGCCTGTGTTTAATGTGATGCTGCTCACCTTCCTTGTCCCTCGTTTTGGTTGGAATAATATATACATATTACAACATAAGATTGGTCTTCCCTTTTGTGTGTGTGATCTTATTTTGTTTGTATGAGTAAGTTTAAGTTCCTTCAACATATCCTTTTTTATCAACGCGGTTTTCTATTTTAAAAAAAAGGATAAGATGTTGATGGGCTTGGCCCATTTTCCATTACCACTTTAAAAAAAAAAACAGAACAGAGGAGGCCATCTTCGTATAAAAAAGAAAAAAAAGGAGAATAAAACCGAAAGCCGTGTGTTCCAAAGCGGAGAAAAGGAAAGTCTTCAGATTCAACTACAAGAGTGCCTCTGCCCATCTCAAACCCTAGACTGTGAGTGCCCCAATCCATTCTCATTCCTCGCTCGCTCTCTCGAATTTTGCTTATTCTCTTCCGTCTTTCTGGATTTCTTTTCCAGCCGCACGGAGATTCTTCGAGGTTTCTTTTGCGATCCGATTTCCCCGAATCGCTGTTTGGAGCTTTTGGATCTTCTAGATTCAACCCGATCGATCGGTTGTTTGTTGCCTTTCTCGTCTCCTCTTGTGAAGATTTCCGTGGCGATTCCAAGATTTTGGGGGCCATCTGCGATCTGCTTACCTCGTTTCGACGCTCACTTTCTCCTGCCGGAATCTGTCAGAAATCTGCTGGCTCTTTTCGTCTTCATGCGTTCCTGAAGCTCGTGGAAGGTTTCATCTGTTGAATTCCGTGGACCCGAATCAAAGCAGTAAATACTTGAATGATTTTTCCCTTGTATCTAGATTTTTTTGTGGAATTGAATTTCTGGTCTCCATTTCTCATAGGAGGCCTTCATTAGGGTTCTTAAAATAGTGGATTCTTGTGTCTTCCTGTTATATTCATTTCTATCATTAATAGTAATACATATGTATTTGTTTATATCAGAGAAATCCAATGGCTATTTATTACAAGTTTAAGAGTGCGAGGGATTATGATTCCATCGCCATGGATGGTCCTTTTATATCAGTTGGTATTCTCAAAGACAAAATTTTCGAAACAAAGCATTTGGGCAGTGGTAAAGACTTTGACATCGTGGTCTCAAATGCCCAAACTAATGAAGGTCTGTCTTCTTCTCTGTCAACAGATATATCTCTACTGTTAAACGACCTGTTAATCAATTTTCAAATAAGTATCGCGTGCTATCTGGTTTACTGCGTGAATATTGCCTGTTCCTGACCGATATTATGCAATGTGTACATGCAGATTCGGTGCTATATCTGGTTTTTAGTTGTGTTTTTTTTTTCCCAGATCTGTACAATTTAGCGACTTTAGTGGCTGTTGATGTTGTTTATTCTCAGCTGTTTCAGTTGTCAGTGACCGGGTCTGCCCTGTATTTCCATGTTTATTGAATCCTGGCATGGCAATATCTGCAATTATGAAATCATCAGTAGAACTTTTGTCCACCAGTGTTATAACTTTGAGTTAGCTATGACTGTTTTTATATACTGGATTTGTCTTAATTGGTTTCTGTTTGTTGTGAATCGCTGGTGAAGAGTTCGGTGGAAGGTTATTCTAGGTTTTCCTAGACGCTCAATATATTGTTCTTCAACTGATATTTTTTTCCTCCATTGCGTGTTATATTATTCACCATCTTGTATTTTCAGAGTATCTGGATGAAGCAATGTTAATCCCAAAGAATACTTCTGTCTTGATTCGCCGGGTTCCAGGACGCCCCCGCATAACAATTGTCACTGGACACGAGTAATTCCTGAGACCTTTGATTCCTCGCCGTTTGGTTCAGTCTTTTAGTTCTTTTTGACTTTTACCTTGATATCAAAACATGGTTAGCTTTATATCGCACCCAATTACGGGTCACCAAGATAATGCGGCGAGGTGGCTTTATTTTATTAGATCTAAGTAATATCTGGATCCCCTGTCTGAAATGATGCAAAACATGTCAATTTTTCAGGCCAAAAATTGAAAACAAAGTGGAAGACGTTCAGGCTGATGTGAGCATTTATTCTGCTGCTGATTCATCTGCAATGAAAAATGTAAGTCGATCAGGGTAAACTCTTCTCTGTTTTGGTTGGCATTAACACTGTTTGAACTTCCTTCAAATACAATTCTACTGAGTTGAGGTATTAATGAACTATTCAATATATTTACAGGCTGAGGATGAGTGGGACGAGTTTGGGAATGATTTATATTCCATTCCTGATGCCCCAGTTGCTCAAATGAATAACCCAGTTCCTGATCTTGTACCAGCAGATGAGAAAGTAGATGAAGAAAGCAAAATTAAGGCCTTAATTGATACTCCAGCATTGGACTGGCAACGGTAAGCCATCTTCACAGACCAATGTTCGGGCATAAATATGTCAGGTTAGGTTGTGGCGATATATTTTGGATAATCTGTCTACTTTCTGGCATTGAACAGACAAGGTCTGGATAACTTCGGTCCTGGAAGAGGTTATGGGAGGGGTACAACTGGGAGGATGGGTGGACGTGGTTTTGGTAACTCTGTTGCTCTCTGTACACTTGGAGTGTTTTAATTTTACCAATTTCTCTAGTAGAATACTGCTATGCTTTTCTTTGATATCGTCAAAATTTCGTTTAATGATAATCTTCAAACGAATTGTAAGATGCTGAAACTCTGATCGACTTGGATTGAGCAGGAAT